TGAGATTGTGGATGGATCAGATTACACAGGTGCTGGTAAGCTAACTATTGGCAATGGTGCCGGTCTTTCAATTGCTAAAATTGGTCGAACTTCGATTCACACTGCATCTCGGTCTTTAGTACTAAGTGACTTATTACATGTGCCTTCAATAACTAAGAAATTAATATCTGTGTCCAAGCTTGCTAGGGACAACAGAGTATTTTTGGAATTTCATGCTGGCTACTGTGTGGTTCGGGATGAAAAGTCGGGTGTTGTGTTGCTGCGAGGGCGAGAAGCTGGTGGCTTGTATGAGTTTGATGGTTTTCTGGCTCGGCGTAATAAAGATGCTGAAGCGAATTTGGCTCATAAGTCTAGTAGTAGTAGTAGTCAATATGTACTGTGGCATGATTGTTTAGGTCATCCGTCTCATAAGGTATTGATGCAAGTTTGTAAACACTGTAACATTTCTTTACCAAGTAATGTCAATAAAGAAATGCTTCCGTCATGTGTTCCATGCCATATGGGCAAAAGCCACAAGCTCCCGTTTAGTGCATATGAAACTCAGTATAAGAATCCGTTTCAGCTAGTTTTTACTGACCTATGGGGTCCGAGGCATATTGTGTTGAATGGATTTAAGTACTATGTGTCGTTTGTAGACGCGTGCTCGAGACATACCTGGGTGTACCTGCTGAAAGAAAAAGGGCAGGCAGTTCGAGCATTTCAGTTGTTTCAACAACTAGTGCATACACAATTTGGACAGGTGATTAAAGCGGTGTAGAGTGACTGGGGAGGTGAGTTTCGCTCTCTCTTGGCTGTGCTTGCTCGGTGTGGGATTCAACATCGAGTGACGTGTCCACACACATCCCAGCAAAATGGGGTTGTAGAGAGAAAGCACAGACATATTTTCGAGATGGCGCTGACACTACTAGCTCGAGCCTCTCTACCCTTGAAGTTATGGTCATTTGCGGTTGTAACAGTTGCACATTTGATTAACAGATTGCCAACTAAGGTACTTCAAGGACGTACGCCGTTTGAGAAATTGTTTGGGAAACCACCAACGTATGATCACCTAAGGGTGTTTGGGTGTAGGTGTTTTCCTCACTTACGGTTGTTTCAGCCCTATAAGCTTGCGTACAGGTCGCAACCGTGTGTTTTCCTGGGCTACAGTGTAAGTCATCGAGGATATCAATGTTTAGCGCCTGACGGACAAGTCTATATGTCTCGCCATGTAGTTTTTGATGAGCAGGTATTTCCGTTTGCTGAACATGTGGATAAGAAACGGTTGACGGATTCAGGAAGTTTGGGTTCTGGGGTGTCGCTGATGGTGGTCCCTGGTGCTCGGCGTGTCTGTGGTAGTGCCCTGCAGGAGTATGCAAGGAGTGGTGAGACTGGATGTGGTAGAACTGGGCATACACCAGTGTACAGTGGGGTAGTGTCTGAGGTTGCTTCCAGTAGCAGTACTGATCGATCTAGTTAGAATGTTGCTACTAGTACAGGTGAGAGTGTGGCGAATGTAATGCCAGAACAGGTAGAGCAGCCTGATGAGCTGCTGATGGGTGAGTCGGTTCAAGCTGATGTATATGGTCAGTGTGAAGGTGGCATAGCACGTTCATGGGTGGAAATGAACACCCGATGGTCACTCGCAGTAAACGAGGTATTTTCAAACCGAAAGTGCTTGTTACAGGTTAAAGGAAGTGCTAGTGAGCCGTGCACGATCAGTCAGGCTCTTAGAGAACCAAAGTGAAAAGAGGCTGTGCTTGCTGAATATGATGCTCTAGTAAGGAATGGCACGTGGGTGCTTGAACCGTTACCAGAAGAGAGAGCAGTGGTTGGGTGTAAATGGCTGTTCAAAATTAAGTATAATGCTGATGGATCCGTGCTGAGGCATAAAGCTCGGTTGGTGGCTCGAGGTATTCAAAGGTACCGGGTCGTGACTTCACTGATACGTTCAGTCCAGTAGTAAAAGCCACCACGGTGAATGTTGTACTGTCACTGCAGTGATGCGTGGGTGGAGCTTGAGGCAGGTGGACGTGAATAACGCCTTCCTCAATGGTGAGCTTGGTGAAGAAGTCTACATGGTGCAACCACCAGGCTTTGAACAAATGGTGAGTGATGGCACTCGGCTGGTTTGTAAGTTGAAAAAGGCATTGTATGGGTTGCGTCAAGCGCCACGAATGTGGTATGTAAAGTTGCGTCGGTTTTTACTGGAATTGGGGTTCTGTGGTACAGCAGCTGATGCATCATTATTCGTACGACAAGTTGGTGGAATTCGTACGTTGATCTTGGTGTATGTGGATGATATTATAATTATAGGGGAGTCGAGTGACGCTGTTGATGAGGTTGTTGGGTTGCTCGGCAGGAAATTTTCCTTGAAGGACCTGGGTGAGCTTGGTTACTTCCTTGGTGTTGAGGTCATGAGGTCATCTATCGACTAGTTTTGAGTCAACACAAGTTTATTTGTGAGTTGCTGGAGCAGACAGGAATGCTTGGTGCTAAACCAGCACCAATGCCAATGGTAGTCTCGCCTAAGCTAACGTGTGACGCTGGGAAGTTGCTTACAGATGCATGTATGTATAGAAGTGTGGTTGGTTCCCTGTTATATCTGAGTCATACGAGACCAGATATAGCGTTCAGTGTTAGTAGAGTGGTCCAGTATATGCATCGACCGTGCGATGGTCACTGGCTTGCTGTGAAGCGGATCTTGCGATACTTAAGTGGAATAGTTGACTATGGCTTGGTGTTTCGACCGACTTCTGTGCCCGAATCCTGCTGTCTGACTGTGTTTGATGATGCTGATTGGGCCAGCAACGTTGATGATCGCAGGTCATCTCGGGCTCGTGCGTGTTCCTTGGGTGTAACTTGGTGTCGTGGAGTGCTAGGAGACAGAAAACTGTGGCTCGCTCGACTACAGAGGCCGAATATCGCAGCATTGCTGATACAGTAGCTGAGGTAGTCTGGATTCGGTCGTTACTTTCTGATATGGGTGAAACGGTTGCTATAACTCCTATAGTATGGAGTGACAATACTAGTGCGGTTTCCATGAGCGTGAATACGGTGTTCTATGCTCAGTCGAAGCATATAGAGTTGGATATACATTTTGTACGTGAAAAGGTGGCTTGTGGAGCAATTCAAGTGAACTACGTACCTGCAGAGCACCAGGTTGCTGATGGGCTGACAAAACCGTTGCCAAAATCTACTCATGTGTTGTTTCGACAACAAGTGCAGGTGGCAGAAAAGGAGAGAGCTGAGAAGGACGGGGAGAATGTTGAAGTATGAGTGCATACGTGGTAGGAGCGGCAGCTAGTGTATGTGGGAACTGTGAGTTAGTTAGTTGTTATTCAAGTTAGTCAAGCAGTTAGATGTTGGTTACGAGTCTGGTAAAGCTGTTATGCAAGCTTTCATGTATAAAAGAACTGATGTACTACCTTGATGAATAACAAGTTCAGTTACTTCACTTAGTATTCTGTTAAACTTGAGTATAAATCACAACATCATTCAAATGCATACTCAATTTTTTTCATTGCTTCTGTATACCTTCATTGCTGCTGCACGAACATATATATATGATTTATTTATGTTGTTTACAATTAAACTAACATGGTCTTATTTTCTCCTACAAGAATTCAACTTCATGGCTTCTGATTTTGAGTGTAAATATAATCCACATGAGCAGCAAGGGTTCTTCTCATCAAGCACTCCTCTTTGCCGACTTCTTCACAGTTCTCATCAATATCAACTTTCTCGGCCGCAACTCCCTGCATGAACCAAAACCCGTGGCCTTATCAGTATTAATCAGAGAAATATAATATATGTAAAAAGAGAGATGAAACATACATGGTATTCGGTTAAGAGAGAAGCAGGGTCGTGTCGAACAGCATAACATAGCATAAAATTGAGGAGAAGAGCAGCAGCGAAAAGGGTGTGAAGCTTGGACATAATTTTCCTTTTGGAATTCAAGAGAGAATGTTTAGAGGTGCTTGTTGAAGGTACAAAAGTGATGAGTTTATAAAGGCAGCAGAAGAAAGAAAGACGATTAGGTCAGTCCAAACCCAACCTTAATATTTCGCATGTGTGTGGATATGCTTATGCTTGATCCGTAAAAGTATTATCCGTTTTAATGAGCCATATCAAAGGCTCTTGATCTTCATTTCTCAGTATAGCAAATGAGTAATTGATTGCCTAATGAGAACAAAAGAAATCTGTGGGGATTTTGAAATTTAAGAAGGGTTGGATTATGATATCTTGTAATCCAGGTTTGTCTGCTTTGGATATGATGATCTTGAGTGATTGTGACAAAAAGCGGCAACCATCGCTCCTTTTTTTTTACTATTCTAAATTTGTTAGCTCCATTTTGTATTCACATTACCAAGGCTATGAAAGGTCTTTAACAGGGTCTCCTGTGGAGATGACTCTCCACGGTACAATAACTTTTTCACATTTTATTTTAATTATTATTAATTTTTTATTTTTACTCGTCTTATTTTTTTACAAGATATTATTATACTCTAAAATTAGGGTTATGATTCAATTAGATAATGTAAACTTAAAAAGTTTTACATCTTTTAGGATCGTTGAACGAAAGAAATCAAAGACTGAGATTAACAGTTGAAATGAGAAGATATTTGAAAAAAAACAAAAAGTTAATCTCATTGATTTTTCCTCATCTAACGATCATAGAAAAGTGTTAAATTTTTAGTTTTACACTAGGTGTAAGTGGATTCTAACCCCTAAAATTAATATTTTTATAATTACTCTTTAAAATTTTGGCAGGAGTAGTGATAAATTCTTATTAGTTTAGTCTAATGTGGGCGGTTTGAGTTTCTTATGGACAATTGGAAGAGGTAAAATTCAATATTGGGTTTAATAGTTGAAGTAAGTTGTACCTAAAACTTGGTCTAGTAGCTCAAAAAATACGGGCTCTGCAAAGCTCTTATAAGCAAGCCGACATCGTATGGTTGCTCCTAGCTGGTCTGGCAGTGGACCCAGCTCTCACCGCTTAAACTGAAAGAAAAAGAGAGTCGCGTCTTTCAATTCTCTCTCTGCACGTAACTGGACAAGTAACTACCGATCAAGGTCGCGCCAGTTTTAACTTCGCCCTAAATTGTCCCATCAGTCTCGTAAATTTTCAGAAATTTAAAAAGCATTTAACGGCAAATCCAAAAAACCGCATCTCGTCAACAGCCGAAAGAAGCCATGCTCGGTGTTGGAGAAGAAACCCCTTCCAGGTAAACGCATTCAATATTAAGGTTTATTGACAATATTAACTGTTCACTATTTGTAACTTGTTTTTTTTTAATGTTTTGTGTAGGTTTGATTTACTTAGCATGGTTAGAAAGCACTCTAATCTATTGGGGAAAACGGTGGTGGAAGAAGAAGATGCCTCCGACATTGAAATGGACGGTCAATTTTGGCACGACATCTTCGATCTGTATTTCCTTCGGGGTAAGGAATCCAGACGACTCCAAGACGACGATCTCTTATTTTTCGTGAGAAAATGGGTATCAAATCTGTGTCACTTCTTATTTCAAAAAGGAAGGGGAAAAAACTAAACTAATAGTTTCAATTTTCCCTGCTGTAGAGGGAACATGATTTTAATGATAAGAACGGTGTTGCTCCTTACTTTGTTCGCAGGTGGGCACCTGAGGTAAAACGAAGTCAAAACCAACTTGAATATGCATTGAGTTTCTTTTTTAAGTTGGTTGATTCCTTTTTGCTTTTGTAGTTTTCTTAGCTTTTTGGTATAATGTCCTTGGTGAAATTGTGGCCTATCTTTCATTCATGTTAGATGTAATTTTCTATACTTCTGTGAACCAGTGGATAAATTAGTTGGTGAGAGTTTATCAGAGGTTGATTGGAGGCGCTCGTTTTACTTGAACATGATTGCCCATACTTCGTACTCTGTACGGTGGCAATTTGCAGGTAACTTTTTCACTTCCTTGTCATGTGTCTTGTCCATGCAATGTTGTGCTATTTTGATTATTTTTCTGTATATCAGCTTCATGCTTTACATAGTAATGGTTGATACTTTCCTAAAGTTAATGGTATATTTGTTTCATATTGCTCTAACAATGTCTAATTGTTTCCTTCCCCCTTCCCCCTTGGTGAACTAACTTTTTTGTCACTGAGTTTGTATTTTTGATGTTTAAGAAATAAGACACACACACATATAGAGAGAGACAGAGATGTTCATGTAGATATTTTTCTTTCCCTCTTCTTTATTGATAGGGTCACTGTGTTAGATTATGATTGAAGTTGAACTATGAGTTATTTTCCACTTTTCCCAGTCACATGTCCTTCGAAATCATCAAGTGGGGCAAGATACACCATTGTCTTCTATCTACAAGTAACCCCTGCTTTAATGTAGCTAATGATGTCAGTAACCTTTTGGAGAGATACTTATATCTTTAACTTTTTTAAAATTGTTTGTATTCTTGACCATAAAATCTGTCATCTTGGAGAAAATCTGACCAAATTTTTTCCGAGAATGTTTGCAGCTCACGTACTGTGTCAATTGCTGATTTCATCCTTATTATAATCCATTGATTGCAAATTTATGCAATTTGAATTTAAGAACTTCAATTATTTCTAGCTACATCTAATACTGTCTCTTGCAAAGATTTCAAAATATCGATGCCAACATATGGATGCTGCCTCCTCTAATCCTTTAGTTCTGCTGTCCTGCAGGTTGTGAAGACTGTTTATGCATCTCCTAGATGAGTAAATTTTCATTTGAACTCAAAAAAGGCAAGCTTATCATTAGTAGCAATAGTGGTGAATTGAGTTTTTCTTCAATTTCATGATATTCTTACTAACTTGGATCTAGGAAGTAGAGACAACACCAGCCTATCCGGACATCTGCTTCGCCATAGATGATTTTGATTCCACTTTTGATGCAGTGGTAAATGCTTTTCTTTTCCTTTATGTATGTACTCAACTGTGTATTTATGACCATGTTCTTGCATAACATAAGATTAGATGTGGTATATTGCGCTAACAAGGAGTTGGAACTTGCTATTTGTGTTGCATGTGTAAGGACCAAAGTCACTTCTTTATTTTAAGACTTGCATCCTTCTTGGTCATACAATTGTCCTTTTTTATGACAGTAGGATTCATGAAAAGCAGAAACATTTTGTTAATTGTAGTTCCCCTAGTATGTAGCTGTGCTATTTTTCCTCATGCAGGTCTTGACAGATACAGATCATTGCTACTGTGTGCTCCTTAATGCACTTGATGGGGCGCATTTCCTAGTGAAACAGATACAAATGATAGCTGTTCCAGTACAAATTACCATTGAGAGTAGATGCTAATTCTATGATGATGAAAAATTGTAAGGTTTGGGTCCTTTCTCAGGTCCTTTCGATAATTTATTTGTAGTAGTTCCATGATCAACCAGGTCTTACATCTAAAGGAGATGCTTAGATCTGCTTGGCTTTTATGTCACTTTATGATGTAAATTAGTTTCTGTTATTTACAACATTCTTTATGATGATCAACCAAGTTTGTCACATGACATGAGAAGAAAATTATTTTTCCTACAATATCATTTTAATGTCGCCTATTTTGTTATCATGAATTAGTTTTGAATTTGAAGTTATAATAATATTTTGGTAATCGCTAGCATCAATAGACTGATGCTTCAGTTTTCCAAATTAAAATGGATTTATTCCAGAGCAAAAAAAAATTATTTACTTGTGAAAAGCTGCTTAGAAATTCTATATTTGCCACAAAGATCAGTTTGCATAAACTTACATGCTTCTAACTATTATGGCAGCTTACACTTTTTCTGGATTTGTCAGCTATCAAATGGTTCGGGATGCGTATGATGGTATACCCTTTTTTCTATTTCTGAGATCTGGCTTCTATTTTTATCCTTTCAGAATTCTGTGAAAACCTAGTGCATCAACTGATAAAATACTTCCTACTTTGTTTTTATATGTTGAATCTTGATTAAGAAATTGATTGATATGTAAACATACAAGCATGGCTTACTCTGAATTTGGTTCTTTTACTGCAGTTTGTAACGAATGCATCTTTTACTGCAGTTTGTGAGGTTTGGCACCCTATTGGTGCTTTCTGGTGCAAGATTTCTTCATTTATCAAAAATAATAATGGTAATGTACCTGTAGAAAAACAGACACATTAAGTCTGTAAATTTCCAGTTGATCAAGCTTGATCTAGAATGAAGTATGCAAAACATGTAGACTGCTTAGCTGATTAAACAACTTTTCCCTGGATTTTAGTTTGTTCTTAATGTCCTCTTCATGCTTATTTCGTTCTCATATCATGTGTTTCTTTCTCAGCTGGGCGTTCTGGATTTAAAAGTCTTCTGTCAGTCGGTCATTCCTTTGGTAAAACAGACAGACTTTACATGAAAGGTCCTGGAGGATGTGGACAAGTTGAAGTCACTGTTTCAGGTGTTGCAGGTCGGTAAGAATTTCTATCTTAAATTTGTCTTATAGCATTCACTTTCTTTTGTGTTTCCTCACTTTCTCCAGACTTTATATGGATTAAATGTTGCAACAGACTGTACATTGATCATGACCTTTGTTTTCTCAAGGATTAATGAGTGCTAAACCCAAACAATCAATCATAATGTCACTCTTCAAAGCAATTGACCTGTGAACAAATTGTATGCCCATTACTTTTGGAAATTATTGTGCATGCTTTGTTTCCTTTTTTTCTGATGTTCTTTATTTATCATTTTATGAACAACTGATTCGTTTCATGAATTATGTTAGTTGATTGACCATGTCAAGTGAATGTTGCATGCTAGGGTTTAGTAAAATACTGGATTTATGTTTCTATATCAGACCAAATCAAGCAATATTCTTGCCCCCCTTCATTGATTACGCCAAACAGAGGTCCCAGACTTGGTTCATTGTTCCGTAAAGCAGCTTCTTCCGTCTCTGTGGCAGCAAAGCATGCTTATGTGGCTGCTACTTCAACTTCTGATGAAAAGATGATACCTCTCAAATGCTGCTTAATGTCTATAACGTTGCCCTGGGAACACATTGCTCATGATCTTTTGTTCAAGGTACATATGAACCTTTTATTATTATCACATAAGCTTCCGTCGCTGATTTTTCTCTGCATATCCAATCCAGTGTCTAACCACTACTTGTTTCCAAACTCAGAGAAGTCCTCCCGTGAACTTGTGAATATCTTGTTGAAAAATCTGCAAGACATATGAGTGGATGCAACCTTCAGAAGGGGAAGGAGGGGGGAAGCATTCGAGAAGTAGACATGCAAAATATGTCCGAAATTTTCCACTTTCGGGAGCATGAAAGGAGATTGTCATGTATTGGTTGGGG